TGCTACTCCTAGACTACAGACCTGTAGAGCATGTTACTGTGCTGAATATTTAGGCAGTTGTAACACAATGGTAAACATTTGTGTATCTAAACATGTAAACATAGAAAAGGTACAGTAAAAATAAAGGATAAAAGATAAGGAAAAAAAAGTAGTGTACCTGCATAGGGCACTTCCCACTCAGGGGGCTTACAGGACTGGATGTTGCTTCGAGTGTGTCAGTGAGTGGGTGGTAAGTGAATGTGAAGGCCCAGAATGTTACTGCACACTTCTATACAACTAGCGATAAGGTACATTTGTTTACATCAGCATCACCACAGATGTGAGTAATGCATTGCGGTATGACTTTATAATGGCTATGGTATCACTAGACAATAGGGATTTTTTAGCTCCATTGTAATCTAATGGAATCACCGTCATTTATATGTGCAGTCCATTGTTGAGCGAAATGTCATTATGTGGTGCATGACTGTATATCAGTAGGGAGATATTTTCTTTTTCTTACATTGTTTCACCATGTGGGGGGTGGGTTAGTAAACAGTGTATTTGGTAGAGACCTTTTCATATAGGAACAGGAGGAGTTTCCTCATTTTGTGAAGTAGCTGCATGCTATTTCATTGTGTAGGTGTGCACTAGCCTATTTAACCAGCCTCCTGTTTGTACACATTTAGGTGGTATCCAGTGTTTTGCTATGACAGACAATGCTGCAGTGGATAACTACACTGGATAATGTTTTATATCCATCCAATTATATCTGTACGGTAAAGTTCTAGAAATGAAGTTACTAGGACAAGGGAAAAATATCAGTTTAAGTGTGTTTGATTCTGTAAGAGAAATTAAGCAGTTTTTTTTAATACTGGAAATTTAACTCATTTAATCCAAAGATTATTTTTAGAGGATTAGTGGATTACTATATTTGGTATATTAAAAAGGAAAGAGGCCATTGCTTAGGAAGCTCTGTACTGGACCAAGGCAAAAACAAGTGAACAAACAGAAATCAAAACAGACATTATTATTGCAACCAGATTTCTCGGCTGACAGAGTTTGGTGTCTATGGTTTGAAAACATCACATTTTAATCCCCTATATTATCTAAAACCTTAATCACACATTTGCTTATTCTTTCTGAGCTGGGAGATGGTATTGGTACATTAAGCTGTTTGGTACCAAATGTAATCTGGGGATTAGTGAAAGTCAAATCCTCCATGCATTCAACCTTGAAAATCTGATTGGGTTTTCTCTATTGGTTCATCTTACTTTGCTATAGTTAATGAAAGGGTCACATTCATCTTGGGACATGTCTGTTTCCTTCCTTCCTTCAGGGAAGATCAGAGGAGTGGTAGCATGAGTTTTGGAACATGAAGCTCCAAGTTAGGGGCAGGCATAAGTACTGCCATCTCAAGATTTCATAGGTCATTTTGTACATTTCCCCATTTTTGGCATTGTATTTTATTGGATTTTATGAAAACATTGAGCTACTTGTAGTCCTCAATTTAGTAGAAAATACAAAATTGTTGTTTGAACAGCATGGATTAGAAAAGTGAAAGCTTTGACCAGTTTTGAATTTTATAGTTGGAGGGTACGAGGGCCTGAGAAAAGTACAGCAGTCGTGATTTGAACTAGGTCTGTTCGACTCGAGTGATGGGCTCCTTTTCATTGTTGTGCAGTGCTTCAGGTCTAGGAAATGCAAGCCTACATGCTTTTAATATGGTATCAGACTCAAACATTTTTTTCAACAAATCTGAAACATTGAAATACTCCGACAGAATTCAAAGCTTACTTAAGATAAAAACGATGTATTTTAGCAACCTAAGATTTGTGAAGTGGACTGTCATATATTTAGAGAGGAAATTAAGTATTTTAATATAGATTTTCTTTTATTTTCCTCTTTAAAATCATAGCTATATCTCAAAATTTAGTATAATATATGATAAAATACATAATTTTTCCTAATTTTTAAAATCTTACCTATATGACTTTATGTATTCAAAATGTTAAATGTTACTTATACAAAGAAGAGCATTTGAAATTCTGATTTTTATGAAATTAAATATATTGTATATCTGGTGTGAGTTTTCAAAAAATTATAAAAATGCTTATTTGAAAAGAAAGTAGGCAATTAAATCTATTTTGACATACTAATACACACCCCTAATTTTTTTTTAAAGAAAGTTTCATTGTACCTCATTTTTTTGCATCTTTTAACTGTGCCAAAGGTATTTCCAATTATAGCATAAACTGATAAATGAAAGATGGGATTTATTTTCTTCTAATTAAAGCTGAAGTCATGAATTATACTTGATGGAGCAGCTGACGTATGACTTACTGCTCTTTACTGAAGAAAACAAAACTAATTTAAGCTCATTTATAGCATTAATGCTACCATTTTCAAACTTTGTGTATATGTGTCTTTATTCATGGAAAATTTCTGAAGAGTATATATAAATCGTTGAAATACAATCACCTCTGGAGTATGGGAGATAGAAACTTTTAAAAAATATATCCTGTTTTACTGTTTTAAATTTTTACCTTGTAATTATGTTATTTTTATAGGAAAAAATCAATATAAATTAAAGATATTTTTCTGTTTCAGTGTATATGGTTCCCAATACAGATTCCATTTAGAATTTGTTTTCCAGGATCAAAACATAGTGTAGAACAAGAAGACAGACAAAAGGACTAATTCGTTTATTTGGTGACACAGTCTTCATCTCTTTTCAGAAACTTTGATTAGAAGCTGCAGATATAATTTACTGTTCCCTTCTGTCAGCTGTCTGTCCTCATCTTCAGGTCCCTTCCTGCTTCTCTCCATGCCCCACATCACCATCACTGTCAATCCCTATTGTGTAGTGTTTCTGTTAGCAGGAGTTAGCATCAGGCCCACCCACCCTCTCCCCACAGATCAAGGGCTCTGTCCCACAAGACAGCCCCCACTTTAGATGCCAGCCACAAATGGAGTACCCAGGCTACCCACATTTCTCCCTGGCTGACTACAAATTAGGGAGTTCTACATCTCCCTTCAGGTTTCATAATATGCTATAATGAGTCATGGAACTCAGTGAAATACCTTGCTTACTAAAGTTTATTAAGGGGAGAGAGAGAGAGACTTTCTCGGCATTCATAAATCACCTGAGATCTTAAGGTTTTAGAACTAAATCTGAATACCCTATTTCAGTCTTTTCATTTTAAACATGGAGAACCTGAATCCTAATCTAACGAATGTACTTTTTAAGAATTATGAAGACTGTTAAAAACAGATCTGGGATTGGGATTTTGAAATCTTTATGTCCCATTCAATGTCCTTTAAAGTATAATAATTCTTTGCTATTCATTCAAAATCTTTGTTTAATAGATAATAATTTATTAAGAGATGGGAAGCAATATAGTATGATGGAGCAAAATTTCCTCAGTGGTTATGGTGATGAGAAACACTGGCTTCTTTGGTGGTCTTAATCCCCAGGCCTGAAGCCTCCAGCTTTAAATATATCCTCCATTTATCTCAAGATGCTATAAAAATCTTACTTATTTTCTGTCTGATGTGACTTTATAAAACAGTGGGAGAGACAGGGGCATACTCTAGAGTCAGAAAAACCTGGCAGTAAATCCTACCTTTGCTTTTTATTAGTAAAGTCACCTCCCAGAATTTACTCATTGTCATCTGTTTTGAGGATTGAATTATGTCATGAATATGAGGTGCCTAGTCCAGAGATGGCACATACTAAGTTCTTAAATATTCCTAGCACAACAAGCAAAATGGATAAATTGTGTATCCCTTTGTACAACTGATACCATCTTTAGTACCTTCTTCATACTGTTTTCCTTCTCTGAACCTAGGTGTCTAGTGGTTTGGAGGTAATAGTTCATGTACTCATTCATTCAGCAGTCTTGCAAGCACTTAATGATGTACCTCTTAGACAGCCAAGTGCTCAACTCCTGGCCTGTTAGGAACTGGGCCGCACAGCAGGAGGTGAGTGGTGAGTGAGCAAGCGAAGCTTCATTAGTATTTACAGCAACTCCTCATCACTCACCACCCCCCAGCCTCCCCATTCCTGGTCTGTAGAAAAATTGTCTCTATGAAACTGGCCTCTGGTGCCACAAGGGTTGGGGACTGCTGCCATAAGCCATAAAGTAAATGAAACTGTATAATAGTATTTTCTAGGATCTGGAACTTGTACATAGTAGGTACTTAGTTGTAGATGTTTATTGAATGAAGAAATAGATTTTATCTAAGAGAAATTTATGTTCTAGTGGACTTACCACATAATTCTTTTTCCACCTAAGGGTAGTAGTAGAGTTATACATACAGTGCTTTGTGAGTATCAAAGTGGGAGTGATTGATTCTTCTATTCTTTCTGCTCCATTGAGGAAAGGGGCAATTGCACAGAAAAAGTGAGATTTAATGTGGTTGTCTTAAAAGGAGATGAAGATGAAGTAACGTTATAACAACATCACAAGTAGAGCAAAGAGCATTAGGAAAGACATTAGTGTGTAGTTGATATGTGTCATGTGGTAAGATTTGGTTGAGGGAGGTAGGCTGATGGAAGGTTGTCTAAGAGCTTTTAATGTCATCTTAGAGTCAGTTCTTGATTGTAGGAGCCTTGGAAAGACAGGCAAGATTGATAAATAGGAATGTGTCAGTGCTTTGTAACAGTAAGCTGTGAATGCTTTATGGCTTTTATTTGATCAGCCTTTATCTAGGATTCTAGAAGACCCTAAGTAACTTATTTTTATTTTTTTATGTGTGTTATCTAGTCTATTTTTCGTTTCCATTAGCATGGGCAGTTGAGATTTGACTTTGTAGAGCCATGGTATATACATTTTTTTAATTTATGAAGAATCCTTAATAAAACAGGAGAATGTGTCATTACTTGAAAAAAAATTATAGCAATTTAATAATCCATATTTTTGTAGTTTTTTATTTTGTATCACAACAGAGCTAACCAGAACTCACAACCTCAGGAGTTCTGAGTCATACACTTCATGATTATTTTTTTGCCTCCACAGAAATAGAAAAATTTCAAAAAGGAGAAAGCAAGGATGAAGAAAAGTACATCGACGTGGTGATTAATAAGAACATGAAGCTGGGACAGAAAGTATTAATTCCTGTAAAACAGTTCCCTAAGGTAAGACAGTGAGGTCCACACTGCAGATATTTGAACCTTAATTACAGAGGAACAGATGTTTAATTTATATTCTGTGTGATATTTTCTCTTAGTAGCCCCTCCCCCACGTTTTAAGTTAATTAAAAACTTATTTAGTGTATTTAGGGATTCTGTCTTTTCTGTTTGACTTGATTGTGAGTTATGGATCCCTAAAAAAATATACTTATGAGTCTTACTAGTGATAGAACCTTGGGCAATCTATTTAACTTCTTTGCACTTAATTTTCCTCATTTGTATTATGAGGTTGGACGGTTAAGAATTAAATAAGATAATGCATGTTAAATGGTTAGTATAGTGCATGTCACACAAAAGTTCAAAAATATCATCTGTTCTAATTTTATTTAACACATTGACTGCCATACTAGAAGAAAATTTTTTTTCCTTGGGGCCATAGGTTTTTATTACGAATAGTATAAAATTGAAAACAAAATGATCCTCACCAATTTAATGAAATTTGTTATTTTTTATTCTTTTCTGTACATCAGTTATATGCAGCTTAAAAAATAGTACACACGGTTCCCAAGATAAAGAGATGTGTGAGTTACATATGCTTCACGAAGCCATAGGCTCAAAACTAGCATGAGTTAAATACAACTCATATGGCAGTTAATGTGTTAAACCTTACCCTGTTTTTGATTTGTCTTTCAAGTGTCCATCTACACAATTCATACATACTGTTGTATCAGTAATTCATTTCTTTTAGTAGATGAATAATAGTTACCTGAATATACCACAGTTTATCCATTTGCCTAGGCAGTTTTAAATTTTTGGTTATTGTAAATTACAGTGGACACTGTTGTACAAGTCATTTTCATTTCTCTTTGGTAAATTGCTGTGTATTTAATTTTACAAGAAATTGGCATCCCTTTTTTTTCGAAATTAGTTGTACTTTGTAACGTTTCCATGAACAATATGTACAAGTTGTAGTTGCTGCATAGCTTCATCAATATTTGGTGCTGTCAGATTTTTTTTCTTTTAGCCATTTTGATTGTGTATTGGTATCTTCATGTGGTATGAATTTGCATTTCCCTCATGATTAATGATTTTATGTAATTTGTATGTATTTATTGGCTATTCTTATGTCTTCTGTTTTGAAGTGTCTGTTCAGATCTTTTTCCTATTTCTAAATGGGCTGTATGTATTTTTATTATTGTAGGAGCTTTTTATACATCTTGGATATACCTCTTTTATTGGATATATGTTTTGTAAATATTTGGCCCAGTCTATCTTGACTGTTATTGCCCCAATAGAATCTTTTGTTAAGCAGAAGTGTTTAATTTTGATGGCATTTAATGTATTGGGTTTTTCATTTATGGTCGTTACCTTCTGTGGACTAAGAAATCTTTGCCAACCTCAAGGAAATATTAAGAGACTTTTGTAAGTGATAAAGATATTCTCCTGGGCCTTCTCTAAAAGTGTTATCATTTTAGCTTTTACTTTTAGGTCTATGATACATCCCAAATGAATTTTGGTTATGGTGTTTTAGAGGCTCAAGTTTATTCTTTTCTCCATATAAATATTCAGTTTTTCTGGCACTGTTTATTGAAAGATGCTTACCTATTCGTTGATTGTCTTGGTGCCTTTGATGAAAATAAGGTGACCATGTATGTGGGGGTGTATTTCTAAGCTTTCTGTTCTTTTAGTTTAATCTATTTATAGATTTATGGACCCCTTTGCCAGTGCCTCACTGTCTTGATTAATGTAGGCTATTTAGTAAGACATGAAGTTAGGTAATTTAGTTCCACCAACTTTGTCCTTCTTTTTCAGGATTGCTTAGATATTTTAGATCCTTTGCAATTATATATAAATTCAAGAATTTAATTACTACAAAATGATCTGCTGAGATTATGAATGCTATTGCATGAATCTGTTGGGCAATTTGTGGAGATTTGACATCTTAATATTAAGTCTTCCATTTCTTGAATATGGTATATCTCTCCATTTATTTAAATCTTCTTTAATTTCTACTAGCAATGTTTTGTACTTTTCAGCGTAAGGGTTTTTGTATATCTTTTGTTTAAACTTATCCTAAATATTTTGTTTTTTGACACTGTTGTAAATTGAATATTTTTAATTTTTCTTATTTTTCACTTCTAATTTAAAATTTTACATATTAACCTTGTCTTCTGCTACCTTGCTAAATTTAAATTCACTGATTAGTTCTAGTAATCGTACATTCCTTAAGATTTGTTACATACTTAATCATATCATCTGTATAAACAGCTTTATTCTGCCTTTCCAGTTTTTATGTGTCTTATTTTGCTTGCATTATTGTATTGCCTGTTATCTCCAGTATAAGGCTGGAAACCTTGGTGAAAGTAGGAATACTTTCCCTTGTTCCCAAAGAGGGGGAAAGCATGTAGTATTTTATCATTAAGAGCAATATGAGTTATACGTTTTTTGTAGATGTTACTTATTAGGTAGAGGAAGTTCCCTTCCATGCCAACTTTGGTGAGAGTTCTGATCCCGATGAATGACAAATTTTGTTGAATGTTTTTTTTTTAATCTGTTGATATAGACACAGGATGTTTCTTTTATACTGCTTATGTAGTGAATCTTAATGACTAGTTGTTAAAAATTAAACCTGCTTTGTATTCTTGAGTTAAACTCTAGTTAGCAAAGACATACTATCCTTTTTATATATTGCTGGCTTCACTTGCATCTATGTTAATGAGTGATACTGACTTATAAATTTTGGGAGGTAATATTTTTATAATATTTTAGTATTGATGTTAATGTGGTTTCATAAAATGAGTGGGACAGTGTTTCTTTCCTTTTTCTCAAAGAATGTATATTGGATTGGTATTATTTCTTTCTAAATATTTGATACAATTCACCAGTGAAGCCATCTAGGCCTTGAGTTTGATGATGAATTCCATACCTTAGATTGATATGGCACTAGTAAGATTTTTTATTATTACCTTTTGTGAAGAATTTGTTGTTTTTTAACAGATTTGTTCATTTTATAATAATATTTCAGCTGTTGCTGCTTCAAATACTTTTCTGACCTTTTCCTTTCTCCATCTTTAGAAATTTCAATTACATGTATGTTCAGCCTTTTGCAAAGGCTCCTGTGGCTCTGTTTACTTTTTTCCCACCCCCATCCTTCAGATTGCATAATTTTTACTGCTCTCTTACACTCATTGATTCCTTACTATGTCATCTTCATTTTGCTATTAATCTCATCAGGGATATTTTTTATTTCAGGTATTATAATTATCTGTTTCAGAATTTATATTTGATTCATATAGAGATAATGTGTATGTAAAAATATTCTTTGTTGGGATTTTCTATTTTTTTTAAAATTTATTGCAAATGTTATTTTCCCTTATGTCATTGAGTATAGTTAAAATAGGTGCTTGAAAGTCTCTTTCTTCTAGTTCCAAAGTCTTGATCATCTTAGATTCATTCTGCATTGATAGTTTTTTATCTTGTTAAAGAGTCATATTGATTGCTTCGGTCTTTGCATGTTGAGTAATTTGAGATTGTATGCTGGACATTATGAATGTACATTATGGATTCCGTGATATTCCTCTGCAGAATGTAGATATTTTTGTTTTAGCAGTTAATTAACTTGGTTGGATTCAGACTGCAAATTTTGTCTACTGGATAGGAGTTGAAGCTTCAGTCATTTCTTTCCTTAGTTTAACTTTTGTGTTTAATTTTTGGCATACATGATTCAGGTGTTAGCCAGAGATTTTGGCAGATTTTATATGTGAAATTTGATAATCCCTAATTCTGACTCTGTCTTTTCTAGTATTTCTCCCTCACATTTTAGCACTATGGCTGCCTCAAACTACTACTCAGGCTAAAAGCTCTAAAATTACTGACTGCATCCCCGGCTGTTACTTTCTTTTAAGTCTTAAATCTCTTTCAGAATCTGCCTGTTTTTGATCATTGTTCAGGGCTTCAGATAGTTGACTTTTATATTTTGTTCAGCGTTTAGGAGTTTATACTTGATACCTATAAATAATCAGCCTATACGCAAAAACTGGGCATATATATTTTTTGTAAACAGAAAATTACATTATGAACATTTCATAGACAGATTCATTACTAAACAAAACATGGCTGATAGAAACCTTTATAGATTGATTCTTCATGCTCAACATGTTCTATATACTCAGTATGCAATAGAAAGATGAACAGATATGATCCCCTTCTCTAAGTAGTTCAGTCTAATAGATGATGATTAATTTAAATTAATACTTTGTTGTCTGTGAATTAGTATATGAAATAAAATAAAGTACAATCATGTACTGCATAATGATGTTTGGTCAATGATGGATAACATATATGAGATTAGTCCCATTAGTTTATAATAATATATTTTTATAGCATCTTTTCTATGTGTAGGTATGTTTAAATATACAAATACTTACCATTTTGTTACAGTTACCTACAATATTCAGTACAGTAACATGATGTACAGGTTTGTAGCCTAAGTACAATAGACTACACTGTATAGCCTTGGTGTGTAGTAGGCTATACCATGTAAGTTTGTGTAAATCCACTCTGTGATGTTTGTACAACAAGGAATTGCCTAATGATACATTTCTCAGAACATATCCATATCATTATTGGCGCGTGACTGTATTTGAATAAAGTGTATTAAATAAAATCTCAAATATTTTTTTCATTGTCAGCTTCGATGAGGTCGGGGACAGCAAATGATAACTTCTGTGTCTAACAGAGAATAGAGTCCATTTCAAATACTTATAACTTCTAAAGTAGGCAGCTTAGAAATCTACTGTTTTCAGAATACTGAAAGAGAATATTTCTGCTTAGCATAATGGAGCATGCAAGTTTTAAGCCAGCCTTGTACAGAAGCTAATATAGCATTGCCAACATCAGTTCTAAAAAGAAGCTTTCATGCTCATGTCAGTTAATAGACTGAGCTGGAGGAAGCTGGCAGAACTTACCCCTCTGGAATAGCTGTGCATGGAGAACAGCGTGCTGAG